ATTCCATTGCTGATTGAATGGAACCTTTGTTTCCCAGGTCCCTCGTCTCCAGGCCATTCCTTCATTCCTTCACCAGCTGGTATGGCGGCCCAGAATTGCCTGGACCAGGTGAGGCTGGATGCCATGAGTCCATCCCAGATGGCCCGGCTGCCAAGAAGGTTGCACAGGATCTCCTCCATTGACCTCTGGAAGATGGTGGGGGAGGGCCAGGTTGTATAAACCAGGGGGGCTGCTGGAAGAGGTGCAACAAACGCCTGAATCACTGGTGCTTCGAGATGTCAATTCTTGCATCATGGAGGTTAGAGAAACAACTGAGGCAGTCAGCGTATTTGGGAAGCAGGTGCAATAGCCAGAGGCACAGAGAGGAAAGGGCCTGAGTCGGGGAAGCTGTGGTAGAGATGGAAAGAGGGTGGTGGGGAGCGGCAAACATTTGGGAACAGATGGGAACAGAGTGGATTGGACTGGAGAACAGGTTGTGTGGGGGGAGTCGGGCCTGGGAGAAGGGTGGTGAGGCCAAAGAGAGGCCCAGAGGGGAAGAACAGGTCCCACGGGGAAGTGAGGCTGTTTTAGATGTACAAAGCTCGGTAGATTCTTAAGTCCAGAGCTCAGGAGAGAGGCAGGACCTTAAAACAAGCTTTCAGAGACCTGAGTGGATTAGACTTCCTTAGGAAAGCCAGCAGTAGGAGTGGAGGCTCTGCAGAAGCCTGGTCACCAACCAAACCCTGGAGAAAAACTGTATAGAGGGAGTTGAGGGAGAGAATTGAGAATGAGGCCGAGAAGGGCCCAAGAGGCGGGGGGAGAAGCAGGCGAGAAAGGTGCTCCTGAGACCAAGGTGGTGAGAGGAGGTCAACGGCACCAACTGTCCCTTTACACGAGCAAATTGTGACATGAGCTGGTTATGCTCCGGTCAGAAGGAAACTGCAGACACGCCTCTCTCATCTTTTAACTGTTTATTGTATAATATAAAACTACAAAAGTAAGACTGCTCATTTCCATGTACATTTAATCTGTCCAATTGTTTAGATTACAGCCCAAACCTACATGTGAATACAGCCATCTGGGTTCCGATGTAACGTCTGTAATATTGCATAGAAAAGGCACAGCTCTCAGGTCTGTGGGGGAAAGGTTACGCCTCCTTTTTAGACAAAATCCTTCCTCAAAAACCATGCACCAAACATGTCACTATGTACATCTTTTTCCAAAAATCTTAGTTGTTTGCTTGTATGGACTGCACTTCTCTTCCAAACTTGTTATCCCCAAAAGATGTCCAAAAATTTTATTGGCTTTGTCTGCAATAGCATTAGTTCCTGGCTAATTTTCAAGAAACATTTAGATTCATTCTTAGAAGCACTGAAAACAACTGTACACAAGCAGGACACATACACCTCACTGTCGTCAGCAATTACAGGAAGTTAACCATTTACAGCCGGAACAGGTTAAATACGTTCTGGTCGATATTTTCATAAAACGTATAAAGGCCCAATTTGTAACAGCAAGGTTTTTAAATTAAGACAATTCATATAGAGAATATCAATCGCTGCACAAAGTAGAGTCAGTTTTTTTTTTTTTAACACCTGTCATTTAAGAAGGCTGCCCTGTGGTATTCATAATTGTTTACCGCAAAGGTGGTTAATAAATTTAAGTTTTAAAAATGATCGGTAAGTTGATACTTTGGCTCTTGGAGCTTATTTATGTAAGAAATTTTCCTTGATTGACCTCAGGGCAGTTGGGACACTCCAAGGGGCTATGGCAATAAAAAGCTCAATTGATAAAGACACTCGAGGTGTAGCGGAGGCTCTGGCTAGTTCTCACCTTTTGGTGGGAGCAAGGGTGTCCATGTGGTTGCCCCTTCTGTCAGAAAGAGAAAGTGCTACTAAAAAACATTTAAAAACATCAACCTTTTGATGCTTGATTTTCTTAAAAATTTGGAGGTATTTAAACATTCCTCATCCATACCTTTTGCATATTTCAAATAGACCCATATTAGAGAAGAGAGTAAAAGTGAATGTGGACTGTGCATACGATGAGAAGACCCAGGGGCCTGGCTCGGACCCCCTTTTAATACAGATTGACATTCCTACAAGAGAATACATTCCTACCATACATTCTGCACATGTTACGATCCAGATGTTGTTAGAGCTCCACAGTAAAATAAATATATTTACACAGAAAAAAGGAATAAATAACTTATGAAAAAAAATCACTTCAAATTCAAAGCTCTTAGTATTCTGCTCTCATCTTGTCACTTCATTGCACATCACTGTCAATAGTTGTCCTCTCCCAGCCCCACCCAGCATGTCTTTCTCGTAAAGGCACCTCAAACTGCCTGCCGGGCTCTGAATGCCACGCCATGTCCTTGACCCAGGGGAAGGCACTGCGGCCGGGCGGCACCTGGAAGCACGTCACGCACTCAGACTGGGACGTGACCCCACGCAGGCTCCCGTTCTTCCCTGTTGGGACATCACTTTGGAAAAGTAAGACACAAAGATAACCCGAACACTTGATGGTTTTGTTCTTTTTAAAATGGGCCGCTCCCGTCCCGTGCCTTCCTCAGAAGACCTTGGGTATCAGGAATGTGCGGCAAGGGTGTCCAGAGTTAACAAGCACGTATTTGCCTGCTGTTGGGTTTTTGTTTTGTTTTGATTTTGAAGCCCAGCCTTACAAATACGAAAGAGTCAGAGAACCACGTTTGGGCAACACTTCGCTTGTGCTTATTTGAACTGTTGCCCAACATATGGGATTTGTTTAAACACAAGATTTGCTAATCCAACCAAAGTACAGTTGTTCTAAGTTACTGTAAATCAGTTTTTAACAATGGCAAATCAACCGCCTCACCCTGCTATTGTTCGGAATCACCGACACTACTGTGCGTGTGTACATCTGTACCAGTGTGCAGCAGCGGCGGGCCTCCCGGGTCCTCCGGTTATCGAAGGCATGGCGGCCGGGCCGGCTTGTTCTCCACGGAGAAAGGAAGCTCTTAAAACGGACAGGCGCAGCGGCGCTGGAAGCATTTACAACCCCCCTAACTATATATGGTCCCTGGTCCTAGCAAAGGAAATGACACATGTGTAGCAGTACAAGGTGTCCCGGTGGAGGCTGCTTGTAGGAGAACAAGAGCAATTTGATCTGCCTCTCGCTGCTCTACTGAGCTGATAATTAGCCTTTAAAAACACATTCAGGTTGGGGTGCAGGGGGGGAGGGGGGTGTCAGGGGAGTAAATTAGAATGTAGAAAGATTTAATCATACCATACACGATGAATCTTTTGATTAGATGAGCAGTTCCTTCATCACAAATGTATTTGTTTTGCCATGTGCATTACAAAAATAAAACTATCTATGGCTTGTTTAAAGTGCCATTTTATAAAGCTGTCTTTTTTAATTGGCCAGAAAGACTCAATTTTATCCATGGCAAGAAGTGAGCAGAATTGGTGACTGAATATTGACAAATGACTAAACAACAAAGACAACAACAACACAAATCCCATAATTTAAAAATTCTTAAATAAATATAAAAGTTATTCCTAAAGAAGCCATCTGCATTTCAACAATATAGGATGTAACCAGCGAAAGTACCATTGGAAGAAAGAAACAACTTAAAGGAAAAGGCCATAAACAATTTCGGCAACAAGCATGATACATTGCAAACATTTTAAAATTAAATGTACACCGTTAGGAATAAAAAGCTACTTCTCAAGTGTCCTGGTTGGGGGTGCAGGGCGGCAAGGGGGAAGGAGAAACATGCATAGAAAGTCCTGCCTGTGTATTTGGGTAAAACAGCCATGTAAAGGGTACTTAATGCAGTTGATTCAAGAAAGCAACCAGATTGGAAGCTGTGACATAATGGGACCAACTCCAGGTTCAAGAGCCACGGTTGTTTCAAGAGTGCATCCCAGGCTGGCCCGAGGTGAGCCGAGCTCACTGTGGTGATCATGAAGATACCATTTTCAGCACTTAGCAACAGAGGGAAAGAAAGCTCTAGGGAAAGGAAGCTGGAAAAGACAAATGGGCAACATGATGGATGCCTTCTGGGGGAGATTCTTTTTTTCTTTAGGAGCCCTAAGCATTGCAAAAGGGTTTATTTAGTTCCAAGAAGAGGTTGGTTGCTTTTCATAAAATTTTGTTCACATGTAAAATTTCAGGTCATCATAAAAATTATGCCAAAAGGGAAAGATCTGGGTTTTCGTTAAAAAATAAATAAATAAAAACAATTCAAAGCGCAAAGTTGGCATAAATACAGTGAATACTCGGTAGTCTTCTCCTCAAGAGAGGGAGCTAAAGAGAACCATCACTTAAACCCCAAGCTCCATGGCCACCTCCCGCCAACTGCTTAATGCAAGTTTGATGAGCAGACGTGGCTCTGGCTTTGGAAGTCACAGTGCTGGCGGGTGTTCATGCCAGGAGGTCGGTGCTTGTGAAATTTGGGTGTGATATCGCCTGGCCCTTCCTTAAAGCGCTGTGTGTGTGTGTGTGTGTGTGTGTGTGTGCGCGCGCGCATCTGGGGACGTCAACTGCGGATTGATTTGATCCAATTTTCTCTTTGCACCAAACACATATAAAACATTACAACGCTATAAAAGTACAAGTGCAACTTGTACATCTGAAGTTTGCAGGAACTATGTGAGCAAATCCTATCAAAATAGCTATCTCATATGTATAAACAGCATTTGTTTTTAGAAAAACAATATCATAAACTGCAGAATCTGTACAAAAATAGAAAATAAATTTGGGCAGCAGTTTCTAAACAGCCATGTAAATGCAACACTTACGAGGAGTTAATGCCTCTAAAAAGGCTGAATTGCCAAGTCAACCTATACAGGGCGAAAATGCCAGAAAAGGTACTGAGATTATCTAAATAATATATATATATATGTATATATATATATACTTTTTCTTTACCTCTTGCAATAAAACTTATAGAAAAAATAGACAAATATGCACATGCAATTTACAGCTTTCCCAACTTATTCCTTGTGCTTCACTTGAACTGTTTATTTTTGCCATTCGATATAGCAACATTGTCTTCAAATGTACTCTTTCCTATTCCAGGGTAGGAGGTCTCTGAGGAACCACTCAAAAAAGCGTATTAAAAGTGGTCATACTTGGATGAAGGCACTCCAACTCTGCTCAAAGCAAAAACTAGTGTGATCCTTTTGTAAAACGTTCGTTTTCTCTGAAAAAAAGGCAAGCAAGGGTGCATGCACAGTGCGGAGAGCTGTCGGGGGGCGCGGGGACACTCGCAGGGTCTGGGCGGGCACAGTCGCGGGGTCCCCGGGATTAGGACCCCACCAGCACCTCCATGATGTGGTCCAGCTCGGTGAGGTCCATTTTGAAAGGCTGACTCGGGGCGACGGGCTGGCTGCTGTAGGGGGCGAGGGTCTTGAGGAGGTCGTCGGCTGACACCGGGGCCATCTTCGAGGCTGTCCCGGACGCGGAGGTGCAGGGGTCAAAATCATACATCGACGTGTCGATGTCGGCAAACAGGATGTCGTCCAGGGTCAGGTCCGTCAGAAACCCCGTGGACGTGGTGATTTCAAAATTCCCGGGCAGAGAGTCCATCAGTTTGGGGTCGTCGGGGCGACCCTCTTGCAGCCCCTCGGGTTTCGGGGCGCCCGACTCGCTGGCGCCCCCTTTCGAGCTGTCAGTCGCTGCCACCGCGGCCTCTGTGGAGGTAGATGTGGGACAGAGCTCCTCGATCTCGTCCAAGGCCGAGGAGAAGCTGTCCTTCTCCGGAGGGAGGGCTGGAGGGGAGAGTTTGGTGGGGGCCGCGGGCTGCACGGCGGGGGAAGTGCAAAAAGTGTCATCGTCGTCCTCGAGCAGCGAGGCGGGGGTGAGGCAGGCCTCCAGGGGCGTCGCGCTGGCCAGGTCCCCGGG